AAGAATCAAATCATTGGAAATCCACAAGATGGTGTTTTGACAAGAGCACAACTTCGTACGAAGAATGAGGTATTAAATACCCATCAAGAGCTATGTATGTTTAATGTTTTTATTTCTAAAATCGAACCAAAGACATTCAAGGTTGTATTGGAACACTCTGATTCAGTTGTTGCTATTCAAGCTGAATTGTCGGAATTTGAAGGAAACAAGGTTTGGAGATTAATTCTTAAACCTGAAAATGTTTCAATTGTCGAATTAAAATGGATTTTTAAAAATAAACCCGACAAAGATGGAAATATTATTCGAAACAAAGCCAGGCTTGTTGTAAAACGATATTCTCAGCAAGAAGGAATAGATTACGAAGAAACTTTTTCCCCTATTGCAAGACTCATGGTGGTTCGTAACTTTTTGGCTTATGGAGCTCACAAAGATTTTGATGTTTATCAAATGGATGTCAAGTGTGCTTTCTTAAATTGTGAACTTGAAGAAACTGTTTATGTGGAACAACCCCTAGGTTTTATTAACGAAGAACATCCTGATCATGTTTATATTTTAGATAAGGTTGTTTATGGGTTAAAACAAGCACCAAGAGCATGGTATGCAACTTTAACTTCGTTTTTGAAGCAATCTAAATTCAAACAAGGATCATTTGACCCCACCTAATGCTTGTTCAAATTTATGTTGATGATATTATTTTTGGCTCTACTGACCCTGCTCTATCTAAAGAATTCAAAGATTTAATGAAGAGTAAATTCGAAATGAGCATGATGGGTAAGATAAACAATTTTCTTGGATTAAATATTTATCAAAGCAGAGAAGGAATATACATCAATCAAAAAAAATATAAGAAGAATCTGCTTTAAAATTTTGGGATGACAAATAGCACAAAGTTACGAGTTCCAATGGCAACGGGTGTCAAACTAACTCCTTCGTTAGATAAAACATCTGTTGATCTTACACTATACAGGAGCATCATTGGATAATAACATTATTTAACAGCTAGTTGACCTGATATCGTGTTTTCTGTTTGTAATTGTGCTAGGTATCAATCAAATCCGAGAGAACCACATCTCATTGCTGTAAAGAATATATTTCGTTATCTTAAATGCACAACTTTGTTAGGATTGTGGATATCCTTCGAAAACAGGATTCTTCATTCAAGCATATTTAGATGCCGATCTTGGAGGTTGTAATCTTGATCAAAAGCACAAGTGGTGGTTGTCAATTACTAGATGGAAAGTTGGTTACCTGGCAATCAAAGAAACAAACATGTATTTCAATTTCTATTGTTAAAGCTGAATATGTTGCAGTTGCTTCTTGCACATCACATATAATTCTGATTCAAAGTCAATTAAGAGATTATGCAATTAATATGAAAAAGATTCAATTATATTGTGATTCACAAAGTGCAATAAGAATTTGTCATAATCTTGTGCAGCATTCGAAGACTAAACGTATTGCTCTTCGTTATCATTTTATAAAAGATCATGTGGAGGAAGGCAATATTGATGTCTATTTTGTGAAAACAGCGGATCAGCTTGCTGATATTTTCACAAAAGCTTTGGATGAAAAATAAATTGTTCACATTTTGGAAGGATTGGGAATGATAAATGGAAACTCTCTTTTACATAAAAGCGAAGGATGATGGTTATTCAAAAATCGTTCAGAGGCGTTGAATATAATTCAAGGCAAATTCGTTCAACGTTCAACGGTTACTGTTCACGGTCAACTCTTCATAAGCTTTGTATTTGTATGTTTGTCACTTTAGAGGAGATTCAACGTTCATTGGTTACTGTTCATAGTCAACTCTCCGTACGCTTTGTATTCGTCCATTTGTCATTTGGGAGGACATACAAACTCTTCGTGTGTTTGCACTCAGTATCCTTTATATTTTTGTGTTGTTTTGTTATTTTCAAAAATTCAAAAATATCAAAAATATTTTTCATTTGTTTTGTTCTTTTGTTAAAAAAAATTCTGTTATTTTTGAAAAATCAAAAACTCAAAAATATTTTCTCTTTGTTGTGTTCTTTATTTTTGAAAAATTAAAAACAACAAAAATATTTTATTTCAATTCTTTTGGTATTGTGATGCAGATCCTCATAATTACATGAAGACTTCTTTGTTTGCTTTTCTAGGGTCAGGTATATCACGTTCTTTCGAATCTTTAAACATTAATCATTCAGAACTAGTTAAGATGTCCCTAGAAGCATGTCGTTGTATGTTGACTTAAGCCTCCAATGATTCTATGTGTATAAAAGAAAGCCTTAATGAAATTTTCATACGGAGATTTCTTCCCAATCAGGCTTGTATTCACATTAGTCTCCTAAGCTACCTGACTCTTCTCATGTGAGTTAAGAGTTTCCTGTTTTGTCCAAATATAACAGAGGTACACTTCGTTTCTTACATCAATCTTTTTTCAACAAAAATTCTATCACACTCAAATACAAAGAGATATGTCCTGGAGGTCTTTCATAAAACCAATCAAAACTTAGACTTATCAAACTCTATTTTTATGATCTAACATCATGAGACCGTGATTAAACTAAAACCCACAAATCTATCCACTTAAGGAATTGACGGGGAACTATGTTCCAGATTTTACGAAACTTTTGTTTCAGTACCTCTTTTAACTCCAAATCATATTCATTTCTTATGCATGGTCTTGATTAAACATTCGAACCTCATGATGTTAGTTACCCAACAAGATCCAGTAATTTTTTTTCATGAATATGATTTCCGTGTGAGTTTAATTAGCAAATTCATGTTACTTTAAAAATTTTCAATACCAATTTTTCACTAACTACACTGGTCAAAAAAGTAATTTATGTTACAATTGATCACCTTATGTTTAGGTTGATATGAAACGAAATTTTCGAAGCCACCTATGAGGCCTTACAAACTTTTCAACATGTATCGATTATATTTCACGGGAAACCACACAAGCTGTTGATTATCTCTCTCGATAATTAATGAAGTAATCTTTGCCCAGGATTCAACTGCCTTTGTGACAAATAAAATTTTGACATCACAGAATTCCAAATTTTTTTTAAAATTTGTTTCTTGTCTAACATTCTTTGGAACACTGCACTCACAAAATCCTTGGATCAGGGTAATACCAGCCCAGGCTGATGATTTCAAACATCTGGCATATGAGTTCGCTTTTCATCCCAAAAGTGAAAGAGCTTAACCTCAATCCGAAGGGGTTCGATGGTTACAATTCTCTTGGGGAAAACAAACATGCTGTATTTCAATGACGTATGGTATCGTGTACTACTTTTATGGAGATGGGACAGTTACTTTTTGACGCATGGCTATTTCTACGGAGTAGTGGTTCGATTTTCAAGGTGCCATGTTAGCATTCATTAAATGCTATCCCGCTTTTAATTCAAACGGAAGGGTTACATATAAAAAAGGGGGTTCTTGAGTCTTTTGTCACTTTACGCTTCTAAAATAAAATTCCTAATTCTCTCTACAAATTCAAACTCTCAAAACCCTAATAATGGCGACTGCTAATGTTCATGCTGATCCTTCACAAAATACCAATGATTTCACTTCCGTGCCCATTATGAAGATCCAGGGTACTACCCATCAAGTTGAAGTTGATGTATCAAAGTATCCTGAGGAATTCAAGATGATGGTGATTGCCTTGAAAAGTTTAGTATTATCCACGGCGATGTTCAACTCCTTTTCCGTACCAATCTCTTGGTTATCTCAGGCTGGTTCAACTGCTTCTGTTGCTAAGGCGTTTGATGCAATTGTGTTTCACCTCATCAATGATAAAAAGCTCAAACTCTCCAAGAAACTCTTTTGTCAAATTCTGGATATCCCTAATACTCCACCATTTTAGGAATTTCCTTATACTCAAATTGCTCATAAGTTCAATGAGATGGGATATTAGCCTCAGTTATCAAGAATTAGTGATTTCAAGAAGTCAAGTCTTCCTAGTATGTGGAATTTTTTGTTTGGTATCTTCCTAAAATGCTTAACAGGACGAATAGTGGGTCTTGATAAAGGACGAATAGAAGTATATGCCATCATTGCAGGGCTATACTACGACTTACCGGTAGATTACAGTTTGCAATTATGGGTAGAATTCCAGAAAAGTGTTGAAAATACAGATGCAAAGCATGGAATTTCGTGTGCAAGATACTAGAGCTTGATCTTGCAATATTTTTACAACAAGATATTTTGGTGTCTAATGATGATAAGAAGGATACTTTTCATGTATATGCTATTTCGAAGGATGTGGTTGATGATGTGGATATATTTCTGAAAGTTGCAAGAATTCCTGATGCAATGCTGAAGAAGGTGGATCCTACTAATTTTGTGGCATACAAACAAATAATAGATACCATAGTTCCAACTAGTATTCTATTGGAAAAGGAGAAGAAGAAATCAAGGAGAGGAAAGGAAGAAGAATTTGGTTCTTCTGAGAAACCAGTCAAGAAAATGAAGACAGAAAATCTCCTAAAAAGAAATCTGCATTTGTGGATGACTCTATTCCACAAGATGTCTCAGTTGTTGTTAATACAATGGTTGATTCTCCTATAATTGAAGAAACTTAGGAGAAAGAAACTATTCCTTCGAAAACTGGAGTTTTTTGAAGAATTAAGGTGAAATCTAAAAATTCACGAAAAGTTTCACCTCATGTTGTTCATAAATTACATGTCACACATCAAGGGGTTATTATCAGGAGGTTCCAGCGCCTGTTTCTCCATCTTCGAAGAAATGACAGGCTGAAAACATGGCAAAGCATTTACAACAGAACAAATCAAAGAAGTTATGAAAGTTGATTCTTGGAAATATTTCAACTGATGAAGAAGAAGTCATTCCTAACACTCCGGAAGCAATTTTGGTTGTTGACAATTCAAAGGTTGATGACACCATGGTAGTTTTACCCAAAGTTTCAAATGTTGAATCATTTTATAAGGAGACACAAACTTCAGCCATCAATTTAAACGTATATAATATGAATACAAATGTCATTATGGGTTCAGATAATGCGAAGCCTGATGGTTCCGAAAATGCGAAGATTGAGATTCCAAAAACTGCGAAGGGTGATGATCAAGGTATTATTACTCCAACTTCTGAAATCATTGTGTCGTTACCTCCAATTACCTCTACCACTGATTCACCTACTTTCGAAAACATCATCAATACCCCTTTTACTTCACTCTTTTTATCTCAATCCACTGATCCACCAAAACCAACCTCACCTGTTGATGATACAATGGAAAATGAAACTGATACTGAAGGTTTTGGAGGAACCTTTGAAGCATTATAGTTTGATGACACAGAAGAAGAGTTTCCAGATCACATGTTGATGGCCATGAAGCAATTCAAAAATGTAAATTCAAAGTTGAATTCAATTTTGCAAACTCAGGCTGATATAGGGGGTAGTTCATATGTTTCAAGTTTGGAGGTGGATTCTATGTTGAAAGTCTTTGAAGGACATGTTACAACCAAAGTTTTTTGGATGATACAGGATTTTGAAGCAAGGGTTTTAGAGAAAGTTGATCTTAATGATCAAACAAATGATAATAGAATGAGTTCTCAAAGAAAGGATTTCTTACATGAAGTGAAGGAATTGAAAGCTGTCACGAGAGAATGGCATGTTTTGTATGTTCAAGAAGTAAAGAAAGTTCGTGAAGATGTTAATCTACAAATTGAAGAACTTTGGGAAGATATGCAGAAGGAAGTTCAGGTTGTACAACAAGATTATGCATTCATCAATCAAAAAGTTAACATTACCTGTGATGCTATCACTAGATTTGTCAAGCTATATGAAACAATGAATCCTCAGGTCATCAATATTTCTTAACATGCTGTAAAACATTTTGGTGAATTGGTTACTTTGTTAAAGGAACTAAAGGAGTTATCACTCAAACCAGTGTCATCCTCTCTCATTACTCCGGAATTTTTATCCCAAAAATTTGTGCAATTTGAAGCAATCTTGCACAAACAATTATCACCTCTTGTTCGCATATCCAACCTTCTTCCAGCAGTATCGGATGCCCCACCTGCTTTCACAGGGGTGCAAGGGGGAGAAAAGAAGATAGAATCTACGAAGGCTGGGGAAAATACCAAAGAAAGCCAAGAAATCAAGACTGATGCGAAGGTGGTGGGAAAGGTATTTCTTTCGAAAGTTTCTACTATAAAGCCAATAACAGTTTCAGCTGGTCCAGTTACTTCGACTGTGATTACTACAACCCCAATGACAAGACTAGTTTTGAAAGGTGTTGTTATTAGTGAATCAATTGTTAGTGCTTTAAAATCGAAGACTGTGATAACTGAGACAGCTTCGAAAGATAGAGGTAAAGGGATCTTGGTAGAAAAGACCAAAGAAGAAACGAAAGCTAAAATCGATGATGAAATAGAAAAGATGAGACAACTTCAGAGCATTATGATTATTCGTGCTCAAGATCCATCAAAGCATGATAAAGGAGGTCCATCAATGCAGTACAATTATGAAACAATTGAAGCCAGAGTTATGTTTGATCACATATACTCATTTGAGAAGATTCCGAAGAAAAGCTATGTGATCACTAATTCTGATTCAAGTCAGCTGGATTTTCCTATGAATGATATAATGTTCATCATTTCTCAATTCAAATTAAAGGTTAACTTTAAAGATGTTGATGAAGGGAAAAAGTTGAAAATTCGTTTTCATGCAGTATTTGGAAAAGCACCTAAAGAGGTCTGGTCACTAGAGAAAATAAAGAAAGTTATCAGTATCAAAAGATTTGTAGTTTTTGAAGAAGTTATTCAGAGTCTCAAATACACAGTGATCAGATCAAGTTGAAAAGTGTGTGACGTCACCATAGAAGATTTTCCATTGATGAATTTGTATGATCTTATACAAATTGCTTTGTTGCTAAAGGACAAGTCATTTTCCTATCTTCAAGAAACAGAACCTGATGTTTTCAAACATGGATGCCGTCACATCAAAGTTTTCATTGAAAACTATTTTGAGTGCCTTTCTCAAACAGATGTGGAGTTGGCAACGGCAAAAGGAATAGAGATTACTGCACCAATGGCACCCACAAAGAAACAAGTAGATCTGAAGAAATTCGAAGATGGTGAAATCTGCTTAAAGCCATTGGGAATTGTCTTCGCAAGAAAAGACAAGGTAGGAAGGGCTAAAAGATTTTTATTCCAAACTTGCAAAGTGGAGAGATACAACACTTCTCAATATACAAATTTAATTGTTCGTATGAACCACTGCAAAAAGAACTACGAGGGAGATAAGAAGGAGATTAAGAAGCTTATTTCATGGTATACAGAGATACGAAGGGTTATGATGTATTCAATCCAACTACTGACCAACTGAAGACTTCGAACAAAGGGGGAGATTTTAAGAGTGAAAATGTTGTAATAAGTCGAAGGGTGTAGGTTGTCATACGAAGGGTTTCATGTCTTCGTATGTTTAGTGTCTTTCTTTGTTATGTATTTATTTTTCTAAGGCAATGTATTCAGTGCACTTCATGCTTAGTCCTTAGTATATTTTTTGTATGCTTTGTTCTCTTATAAATAGGATTCTTTACTAGAGGAGTAGAGAACAGATTTTATAGATTTTGTCTAAGAATTCTCTGTAAACACAAAGCATAATATTGAGCTGAAAACAGATTCTATTTACATCCTTGTCCAAATCTATCTTATTTTCATTGATTCATACTCTGATTAATTTCATTCTCGAATTCACGATTCATCAGGTTGGCAGATGTCGTCTATGCATTCTGTACCAGCAGATGTCCCGAGGGGGACAAGGTTGACTTATGTTCTATCTTCTAAAGGACATGTCACGTGACTGGTGGGAGGAGGTCGGGCATGCCATTGGTGATGATGCAGCCCTTGATTTTATAACTTGGATTGACTTTACAGCTAGGTTCAGGATCGAGATTGCACTTGTGATAGAGGTGAAGCAGCTTGCTAGGGAGTTCTACGATCTCCAACATACGACTAAGATGGTGGTCGAGATCACTACGATGTTTAGGAAAAGGGCCCTTCTTGTTCTGCAGAACGTGGCGGATGAGGAGATGAAAAAGGCCTGATATAATGAGATGTTGCGGAGTAATTGTAGTGACATAAGAACATGGTTTGGCATGCGGAATTAACTTTGCACAATTGAACATGGTGATCTAAATGCTAAAATATATATTTGATCATAGTAAATGCGTACAAAAAGGGATCTATTCTAGAAGTTCATAAATATCTCACTCACTAATCACTATGACTACATCTCTCAAGAACACTTCTACAAGTGGTATGAACCCACCTTATATAGAGGTGTTTACATGGCTCTCTCTCACTCTTGAATACTCATTAGTCATAAGGCTAATGCACCATATGCAAGTGGGTCTACAAAAGTCAAACCATCTACAAAGTCATACATGAAGAACTTTGTACCCCCAACATTATCCCCCTCAAAGTTAGGAATGGATGAACCACTTCAAATCTTCTAAGGTCGAGCAACTACGCTGTTCGAGCCTTAAAGGTGACACATGTCGAAACAAACTTCAATCTTCAATTCTTCCTTGATTCTTCAATTTGGGCTCTATGATGTGAGACCACACAATCTGAGCATCAACGAATGATCATGAGCTTCTCAAACTCCAAATTGATCACCAAAAGTTGAGCATAAAGCTCACCCCAAAAATCTTCAATAAAACCAAACCCATTACGAATACATCATTTCCAAACTTCCAATTCCATCATCTCGTAAACTTCAAAACTTCAAGATCACTTCGGTCTTCAAATCAGCGTAAGATGAAAAATTCAAGTTTGAATTTCCATATAAACTTCTCCCCCTTTTTATAATCAAATTCTGATTATAAAACTCCCAAGGAAAAAGAACGTGCTCTATTCGGAATTATTCGTGTCAAAACTCCCCCTTAACATGTGGCATAATCTTTGTGCTTCAATCCAGAAAATCTAAAAAATATTCAATTTTTAATTTCATTCGCGGATCTCATTTGATGAAATTTCTCAAAAAATGGGTAGAAATTGTCAATTTCAAAATTTTGCAGTGACCCGTTGCACCTAAAACAACAAAATATGCAAAACTCTCCCCCTTTTCCAAATCTCGGTAGAAAGTGTCAATTTGCATAAACTTCAGGGGCCTGAAATGCACCTTCTTAAATTTTCATCAAAAACAGTCCTTTTCGTATTTGGGTACGATCTTCCAAACATTCGAAACCTCAGGGACTATTTTTGAAAATTCTTCCTTTTGTGCTCAAATCATACGAAGAATCACCCCAAACATACGAAGCTTCAAAAAAATTTCGAACTTAGGTAAAAAGTGTCAAACATATGAAACTTGGGTTAATTTTCGAATTGTCAAATATTCGAAGGTTCAGGGACTGTTTTTGAAACTTTTTGCTTTTTGATCAAATCATACGAAACTTGGATCATACATTTGTATCCTCGACCATCGATTTAGAATTGAAGATCTAAAATCGAATTCAAAAATGTTCATCAAACATTCGAAAATCGACACTAAACCCATGGACTTTAACAGATTTGATCATAATCCAAAATAGATTTTCGAAATCCAAATATGACATCGAACCCAAAAGAGAAATTTCAAAATCAAAATCAGAATACCTTCGTTCCTTTGAACTCTATTTCCAAGCTGTATCTACACAAATTTAAAATCGATTCGAATTCAATACACTCAAATCTTCATCGATACTTGTTAAATTTCCAGTGCATATTTCAATTTCAAGACATTTGATTCCAGGAAAGGACAATCGACAGTTAATCAATTCAAACAAATCAAATCATGATTCAACTACATATTTAAAATCTCAAATCATGACCATCCAATCGATATTGAACCATCGATCATTTAATTGTCAAAGAACACTTATTTTGACTTTTTGGAATTGACTTAACAAATTCATTAATCGATATATACAAATCTATAACTAGATCATAATCGATTGATGATAATGAAATCAGATAAGGTCAATTCACTATTTAAAGATAAACTCATCAATTGTTAAGAAAACCTCTATGAAATCGCATATGTTTGAGAGTAGAAGAACTGGAAATGAGTAAAGAACAAGAACGAATGAAGTGTTTATGATTTCAATTAAATGATACTTTAGGCTTCATGAATACTAGATAATTCTAAATTTAGGCTTAACAAAATCGGATGTGAATAGTAATGACTCATATGTTGGGTTCAAATCATGATCATGAACCGACAGTGAACTAACGTTTTGTAATTAGGCTTAGAATTCGTTATCGAATAAAAAAATTCAATGAAATGATTTTGAATTTGTTTTTCGACTTGATCAGTGAAATAAAATAGATTGGATCTAAAATTGGGCTTGAAACAAATTTGATCCAATCTGAGACAAAACGATTAAAAATCATAAACGCAACGCATGATTCAAAAAGAATTAAGAGAGATCAGAGAGAGAGACTCACCAAAATTGTTCAAAATTGCGACAAAATTTACCAAACCGAGAATCGTTCTTCAAAAATCACCTTGATCTTGAAGACCCACTCTGATAAGAATTGTAGTGACATAAGAACATGGTTTGGCATGCGGAATTAAGTTTGCACAATTGAACATGGTGATTTGGGTGCTAAAACATATATTTGATCATAGTAAATGAGTATGAAAATGGATCTAGTCTAGAACTTCATAAATATCTCACTCACTAATCACTATGACTACATCTCTGAAGCACACCTCTACAAGTGGTATGAACCCACCTTTTATAGAGGTCTTTACATGTCTCTCTCTCACTCTCAAATACTCATTAGTCATAAGGCTAATGCACCACATGCAAGTGGGTGTACACTAGTAAA